AGCTGCTGTTGTGCGGAGGTTGGGAGGGGGCTGCTTGTGTGGCTGCGCGGCCCGAGCGGAGCCTGGGGCTGAGGAAGCGGCGGCGCTCGCGTGGCGGGTGTGAGAGGACTTGTCTGTGAGGGAACGGCGTGAAGTACCGGTTGAGGTGTCTCCTGCTCCCAGGGCTTTCCGTTGCCCAGAGTTGGGCTGTAGGTGCTGAAGTGGCAGGACTACAGCAAGCAGACCGATTCTTTTTTTTTTTCTTTTTCCCCGGACCCACACATGGCAGTATTTCTTTTCGTTAGCTGCTTTGATTTGGTGTGACCTCGTTAAAAAGACTGGCTCCATCTGTTCAGTAGTAGTTTCCTTTTGAAATATCTCTTAATTAAGGTGTTTTGCCAGGAGAACCCCAGTTTGGTTACATTGGCAAGTGATGATGGAGAAGTTTAGAACCGTTGGTCAAACTGATAGTGCATGAGTACTGGAAGACTGACTGTGTTAGCAAGTATTAGTAACTATGCAGCATGAGTTTAGGTACTTTCACATTATTTATTTTACACAGAAGTTTGATACTGAACTAGAACTTTGACCTTTACAGACTGCTTTTTTTAGCTTCAGCACAACTTCCCATAGCTGTAGTGGCCATAAATAGTTTACTTTGTTTAGATATTTGTCCTAATGCTTCATTTTCTTGCAGAATTTTTCTCTTCTGAGCACAAGATCAGGGCAGGAATTCAGTACTTTTGTTTATATAAATAATTCTCTTCTTTTGTTTGTTTTGGAAACTATTTTCTGACAGCTATGAAATTTCTGTTGGTTTTTGATTTTGACCATACAATCGTAGATGAAAATAGCGATACCTGGATTGTGAAATGCGCTCCTGAGAAAAAGCTTCCTAATGGATTAAGAAACTCCTATCGACCAGGACATTGGACAGAATATATGGGCAGAGTCTTTGTCTACTTGGGAGACAATGGCGTCAAAGAAGATGAGATGAGAAGAACTATGACAACAATTCCTTTCACTGCGGGAATGGTAGATCTTCTGGGTTTTATTGGCGAGAACAAAGAGTTGTTTGACTGCATAATTGTTTCAGATTCTAATACAGTATTTATTGACTGGATTTTGAAAGCTGCTGAGTTCCATAAGGTGTTTGATGAAGTGTTTACAAACCCTGCAGCATTCAGCAGTACTGGCTATCTTACTGTACAGAACTTCCATGCTCACCATTGTGAAAAGTGCCCTAAAAACCTTTGCAAAAGGAAAGTTTTAAAAGAATTTCTAGATAAACAGTTGGAGCGAGGAGTAAGTTATACACAAATTGTATATATAGGTGATGGTGGGAATGACTTATGTCCAGTAATGTTTTTGAAGAAGGATGATATTGCTATGCCCAGGCAGGGGTATACCTTGGAGAAAAAGATTTCTCAACTGGCCCAGGATCTCAGTCCTGTAGAGTGTTCTGTTCTGGCATGGTCATCTGCTATTGACATTATGTCTTACCTGAAACAGCTTTTAAAGGAATAATTCAAATTATAAAAGGAAACTAATATAGTTAGTTACATTTGATCTTCCTGGGAGAGAAAAACTGCATGTGTATAAAAGCACAAAATTGTAAAATTGGGCTGTTATCTGAACTTACCTTTTTCAAACACAATATGAAACTGTTTATGTTCAATCTTGGCAATAGTGGAAAAGTTAAGTTAAAATGGCTTTCTAACATAGTACACATTCCAAGATAAGTGGAGAAGGGGTTTGCAAGAGGAATCGCTGTTATTCTTAGTCTTCCCCCCTTATCCCCCCCCGCCTTTACAGACTACATAACTGACCTTTTCTGTTCTACACACTTAGAGGAAGGAGTAGGATTAGTGCACAAAAGAATGAAGTTCTTTACTTAAAAAACATTAGGTGCCAGTAGCATGGTTCTGGAACTGTTGGCTTTTATACTCCTTTGATCAGGATAAATGTTTAATTTTGTAAATTATTTGATATGCTTGTAATCTGTTTGATCTGAAGATGCATTTATATTTTCAATATACTAAATATTTTACCAAACAAAGTTACTTTTTAATAGCTTGTTTTACCTTGTATTGTAAAGACAATAAAAGTTAGTGTCACTGACAAAAGCAACACACCTGATTTGTGTAATGTATTCTGCTGGCCTGTGTCATCAGGCACCTGTTCTTGTAAGGGCCTGGAGAGAGTGAACACAAGTGTAGGTGTCATCCAAAGGCTGACACCTTATTTATGTTGTCAGTCAGACCCCTTCTCTTCTGGAGAGCAGTAAGGATGTTGCTGTTGTGTTTAAAAAAAAAAAAAAAAGTCACTCTCCCGTTCTCCTGACTACCACCCTGACAGTGTTCTGCTGCCACTCTGTATAGAGCTAATGCTGGTTTGATCTTCCATGCTGACAGCTCTTAGACAGCCAGGTGCTTTTTTCTTGCTGGGTTTCTGCTGCAGTGCATAGGCCCACAGAATGGTGTGTATGTATATGTGTTTACACTGATTTTGCCTATTCACTTTATAGTATAATCCTCTCTTACAGACTGGAAGGGAACATCTATGCCCATTTGAAATTTCTAACAGAATTGTTTTGCCTTTAAATAGTTTTAAGGAATCATTTGTGAACATGCAGTCTTTCTCTGTACCACTCATAGTGAGATGAGCCCCAGGAGTTGGGCTATGCATATAAAGATAGTAAAAATAAGTCTCATTAAATTTAAATATATTTTCATGCCAAATGTTTTTCTCCTTATAGTCCCACAAAAGGTCTAAAATGGTGATGTAATGTGCTATTGAACTGATGTCTGTTTTAGCTTAAGTGCCTTAATAACTGAGAAACTGCACTTCTGCAGCACTTTGGTTGCAGATGTCTGAGGTGTAGCTCAGCAGCCTGCAGCTGCTGTAGCTGTCTTCCTCTGTTTTCTGTGCAGCATTGTTCTCATTTTCTTACCATCTTACTGATGTTGTCAATATCTTCTTTTTCTCAGTTGAAGATTTTTAGGAGTGGTCTTGCCCGTTTTCAGGCTGATAGTGTATATAGATTAAGATTTCCTTTGAATACTTCCATGTAAATGGTCCTGCTTTTAGCCCTTCACCTGTTTTAATGAATCGTAGAAGGTTGCTTTGAACAGTCCGTTATCCAAGATGTCCAGAATAATATACTTGAGTTCTCAGGAGCATTGCTTTAATGATGGGTATTTGATAGGTGCTTGAGATGTTTCTATTGGAGATCTTGCCCTATTGTCTTGTGCAAGGGCACGAAGACAGCGTCTGAAGAACTGGTGGGTCTCAAGTTGTGACAGGTTTGTCTGACTTACAGGTCATACAAAAGAATGGTAATGGCTGTTGTATAGTACAATTTTGTATGGTTACTTTTTTTGTTTTTAGTTATGCGTCTCCTTCATTCTAGATGTGCTGCTGAATGTTTCAGATTCTGTGCCAGTCTCTTCTGTGCTTTTCAGAACTTAGTTGTGAGACAGCTTGCTTTCAGTTTGTCTACAGATTTCAGTTACTGCTTACTTAAACAAAAAACTAATAGATAAATAATTATTCCACTTCCACTTATATTAACTATTGTTCTTCTAGCCTTAAGGAGCCGACCTTGTAGTTTGCTATGGGAGTGAGAAATTGAGTGAGAAATTAATCTTCATGCTCAAAAAGGGGTGCTTTTTGTGGTTTTGATGAAAGTACCAAAGCAGGAGTTGAGAGTAGATTAAGCAAAGTAGACTACTTGAAATATTAGCAATTATGATCTGATGTCTTCAAATAGAGGGTAGAGCTGATGCTATTTGCTAGCCAAAGTGCATGTTGGAGACAGAAGAAATTTTTCAATTCCAGTAGGTAGGCCATTAAGCTGTTAATGCGAGGTCTTGGGTTTGTTTGGGGTTTTTTTTTTCCTCTTAATAGAGGAGAGAACTTTTCTGGAGCATCACAATTACCAAATTTTTCCATGTTTGGGTATAAGGGAGGATGAGTATCTCCAAAGGGTAAAGGTAGTTTAAGCTGGTAAACCATCCAAAAGAGAAAGCAAGAAGCTCCTTGAAGGGATGCAGGTTCAGTACGAAGTGTTGCTGACTTCCAGACTTGCTGGCAGTTTAAACCAACGTGCTCTCTGGAAGGGAGATGACTTAGGTAAAGATGTTACGAAAAGAGATGCATAATGGAAGGCATATGTGTGTATGGGAAATCTTCTGTATGGTAACACCAGCTACTATGAAGAGTACTTAGCCTTAGTATTATGTGCTAGTAGGTTGGTCAAGTCCTGGGAGAAGTCCCTGCTTGTCCATAGGAAGCTGATGAAATGGAAAATGCAAAACCACAGCAAAACAAATCTGTTGGCATGGAGATGTATAAACAGGCTCAGGGCTGGACAAGGGAATGCCCCAGAGAAAGAAATGGAGTGAGTAATGTAGATGAGGGACAGGCCCAGGTCCGAGACAGCAGGGCTACTGCTAATTCCTGGGTTGCGCCACAAAACTCTGATTTCCTGGGCTAACTGCATCAAGAGTGGTTGAAAAACTGAAGGCAAAGATGTGTGAAGGGTTTGTTGGGTTTTGTTTGGAACGGCTTATTTATGTCTTGTGCTTCTACGTAAAGGTGAAGGGCAAGTTTGAGTCCTGTTGCACGGTTAGTGGGTGAGGAAGGATGGGGGGGCGGGGGGTGTCCATACATACTTTGCAGTTCAGATTCCTTCTTTAGTCCCTGTATCTGGTGGCCATCACGGGGGAAGTACCACCAGTAATTAAAAGAAACAAATGATGCTTTTTAATCTGTGCAGAGCTGAAGCTCTCCTGAATTCCGCCTTTTGGGTATTGCTGGCACTTAGTTAATCATAACAAATACCCACCTCCTGTTGCTAGGAGAAACCGCTGCCAGCCCTTTCAATCCAGGAGAGCTCTGGCAGGGCGGGGGAAGCCTGGCTGCTGGATCCACAGGATCCAAACCCTGCTGCAGGCGAAGGGGGGAGCTCAGCTGCTTAGACCCAGAGGACGCTGTGCTTCAACTACTTCTCTCAAAAGTCGCTACTGCAGAAAATGGTTTGCTGGCAGAGAAGAAGAAGGCTTCTTAAATTGCGAACCACGTTTTCAGAAGCGGCAAAAGCCAGCGTAACCTTCTTCCTGAATAACGTGCTTGCAGTTGGGGTCCGTCCGTCAGCATTTGCACCCCGCCGCGTTCAGGCGTCTGAGGAGAGCTCGGGCCGCCCCCTCCCGAATGCTGCCCTCCCGCCGTGGGGAGCCCCTGGAGCTCGCTGCCCTCCCCCGCACCGCTGCCCCGAGCGCCTCAGGTGGCGGGCGGCGGCAGTCAAAGGCCCCCTCGCTTTGTCGTGCGGCTGACGGCCACCGAGCCGGTGACGCTCCCCGGGCGCCTGCGTCCGTCCCGAAGACGGCCGGGCCTTTTGCCATCCCCGCAGTCCGCCTTCTGACCCCCCGCCCCCGGGGGCGGCAGCGGC